CCCTCAGGGTGCTCGAGGGGCCACCTCTGGCTCACGGTTCCCATCACCCCCTTGCCAGTGGGAAGATGGGGCCCCGACTGCTGCCCCCAGCCCAGAGCCTGGCACAGAGGGCCATTGGTAAGCACTTGGTGGAATCCAGTAGCTGGCCCCACCCGCAGCTCCCGGCTCTGCACACTTACTCAGACAGGAACTCGAACCAGGTGATGTTGGAGTGGGGCGCTCCAGGGCTGGCCGACAAGCGAGCCCTCTGCCGGGCCCTGACAGGTCCGAGGGGATAGACGTCTGGTTAGCACTACCTCCTCCCCCAACTCATCCTCTCCCACTCCCATCCTTCCTGCCCCCATCCAAGACTTCTCTATATAATTGTCCCTGGAGGCGTCTGGAACCGCCCCTGCCTACTTCGGCACAGATTTGTATGTGTGTTTATTATGACTGTGGCCAGCAGAGGGCAGCAAAGGGCCCTAGCTGAACAACATCACTACCCCCGGGATCTGTTCTTACCCATCTTAGCAACGTTCTAACCAATAGCAGTGTCTTGGGAAAGAAACACCTTGTTCTCATTTGCGTAAAGGTACCCCGTGGGCTGGTGGCAGCTTGGTTTTCCTCAAGTCCCCTGTCCTTTTCCACAGCAGTTCCTGTTCCCACTTTTCTTGTCCCCATTTCTCTGCCATTTCTTCCTGTCTTCTCTACAGCTGCCCCCCACTCCTATTCTCCCAAATCTGTCCTTTGACACTTCTCTGCAACGTGTCCCCAAACCTATTCTCCACACCGATGACCCCTATCTGTTCCCTACTCCTATTCCCCATCCCTGTACCTATACTCACCCGCCATGTCTGTCTGTTCCCCACACATATCCTCCCTTTCCTATCTCCCACACCTGCCCCCACACCTAACCCCCACACCTGTCCCCCAGACCTGTCTCCTCATACCTCTCCTCCACTCTGTCTCCTCACCTGTCCCTCCATACCTGTCCCCCACAGCTGCCTTCTCACATCTGTCCCCTATACCTGCCCCCTACACCTGTCTGTCTCCTCACACCTGTCCCCTTCTGACTTACCCATGATACTGTCGGAGTTCTTGAAGTACCTGCTGGACAATCAGCCTGGAGGGGGATCAAAGCAGCCCATGGTCACCACATTTACCGAGGCAGTCCCCAAGACGAGCTGTGACTGCCCGGCTAGGCCCCCAGAACCAGGTCAGAGCTTCACTGGGAGCCCCTACCCCTCTCCTGATGTCAAACTCCTTTCTGGTGGGGCTTGTCTGCCCCACCCCCTGCCCAGACAGATGGCGTGGACAGACTGAAGTTATGGGACCTGAGAGGGACAGTGGCTGATGACTCACTCACAGGCAGGAAGCACCGTCAGCCACACTACACCCCTGCCGCAGCCTTGACCCCTTGGTGGGCTCACTGGCCCCGCCCACACGGGGTTACTCACACATGATCGGGCTCCACGTGGTCCTTTTCCACGCACTCCAGCACTGGTGGGTCCAGGCCTGGAAGTAGCCCCCAGAGCAGGAGGGACATGTGTGAAGGGTCAGCTCTGACCCCGCCCTGGGTCCCTGAAGAACCAGAGACCTCAAGGAAGAAGGTGGGGCCCAGGGACAGAGGGGGGCCCACCCTCTCCTGTGGGGGACTCAGGGACCACTCCCCTCCTACCACACCTTGGAGAGGGGTGGAGCTATAAGGCTCAGAGACTGGCTAGAAAGAGGAAGGGTCAGATTAAGATGCGAGTCTGTCTGACAGGAGAGATGCAAACTCCACAGGACAGAGATTCAGAGATAGGGAGGGGGATACAGGAAGAGATGGAGAGAGGAAAGAGAGCCCGGGGGACAGTAAGGACCAGGCAGTGGTATCATTCCCCTACGTGGAGGAAGAAGGGAGGCACTCGAGGCCCCTCTCCCTCTCTGGGTTCCTTACCCTGTGCCACCGAGTGGATTCCAACTCCTAGCGACCCTTTAGGACAGGTTAAACTGTCCTACAGGGTTTCCAAGGCTGTAATCAAAGGGGCTCTGGTGGTATAGTGGTTAAGGCACTTGGCTGTTAACTAAAAAAGTCAGTGGTTCAAGCCCACCAGCCACTCCGAGGAAGAAAGAGAAACAGTCTGCTTCTATAAAGATTTACAGCCTTGGAAACCCAATGCGGGGTACTATGAGCTGGAACTGAATCTATGGCAGTGAGGTTTTTCAATCTTTATAGAAGCAGATTGCCAGGTCTCTCTGCCACGGAGTGGTTGGTGGGTTCCAACCACCAACCGTTTGGTTAGCAGCTGAATGCTTAACCATTGTCCCACCAGGGCTCCTTCTGGGCACCCCCTGACCCCAGAACTCTGACTAGGGGTCCCTAAGCCCCATCAACCCCTTTCTCTTCCACCCAGGGGACCTTCCAGCAGGACCTTCCCACTCCTCACCCTCCCCACCCGATCTGGTCTGAATGAGGGAGACCCCCCAGGTCTGGCACCTTGAACAGCTGGACAGGCCACCTCCAAACCCTGAGGGAGGTTCAGGGAGTTGATCTCATGGGAGGACACAGGAACCGACCGTGACCGCCCTCTTTTGACGCCCTTGGGGCCGTCACCTTCCTGCGGGAAAGAAGCATCTCACTAAGCCTGGGAGGGAGGCCCCGGTGGTACACACAGTTAATGCACTTAGCTACCAACCAAAAGGTTGGAAGTTCAAGTCCACCAGAGGAACCTTGAAAGAAAGGCCTGGCTACCTGCTTCTGAAAATCAGCCATTGAAAACCCCATGGAGCACGGTTCTACTCTGACACACGTGGGTCTCCATGAGTGGGGCCAACCAGTAAGCTCAGGAGGCGGCTTGGGCTGCAGGCAGGCTCCTAGCATGGAAGCTGAAGGCCGGGGTCCACAGACAAGGATCTGGGGACACACCCTCTTCAAGAGTGGTCTGCAGTCCTGGCTGAGTGAGATCCCCTCCCTGTGAGCTGGAGCCCCAGGCCTCGGAGCCTAACCCTCCCCATCCATGAGCTGCAACCATGGTCAGGAATTTCCCCAGGGGTCACGGTCATGGCCAAAGATCCCCAGCCACAGGCTGCAGGACCCAGCATGCACTTGTGGTTGTGGGCTAGGAACCCAGGCCTGAGCAAGCCCTCCCCAGCCACCGACTCCAACCACAGATAGGGCTTCCTCCCAGCCACAGGCTGGAGGCAGAGAACGGGGAGGTGTGCCTTGTATCCCCTCAGCCTCTGGGTTACTGTCATGGTCAAGGACCCCTGTGGGGGGGTCCAGCCATAGAGGAGAACTATGGGCTGGAAATTCAGGACCCAGAGACATCACAACGGTGGGCTGGACCGCTGACTGAAGAGCCCCTACCTACCAGTGAGTGCTACCTACTGGCAGGGGGTAAGGCTCACCTTCCCACCCACAGGCCCCAAAAGGTGTGGCCGTGATAAGGGCTGTGCGCTATACCCACCTTGCCTGAGGGCTCTGCTGGGCTCTCACCTCCGGATGACTCCTGGGTCCAGGCCTGCAGGCCCCCTCCTGACAGGTTCAGAGCGAGGCTGGCCAGTGTCCGAGGGAGAGAGGGCCCCTCGTCCTCTGCTGAAAACTCAAGGCTGAGCCTGGGGAGAAGGCAGTGAGCTGAGGCTTCAGCCAGTCTCCCCAGGGAGGTGAGGGCTTGAGGGCAGGGAGCGATGGGCAGGGCACAGACTCCCATATGTGAGGGGCATCGTGGGGCAGCATGGAGAGGGGATGGAGCCACATGTGTAAGGCAAGCCCATGATTTTTGCCCAGCCTGTCCCATGGGTGCGTCCCGGGAAGCAGACAGCAGAGGGGGCTGACCTCTGCCAGGTCTCCGAGCAGCTCCGTGATCGCTCCCAGCTGCGCCTCTTTGCCCGTGGGCCTGGGGGACCTGCCGAGCCGGAGAAGGGTGAATCTCCTCCAGCCTCACTAGGCAGGGCACTGTTGCTGTGCCCCCGAGACAGGCTGTGGGAAGGGGCCCCCAGCCCCAGGTCCTGGAGATACTCGCTGCCCTGAAGTGCTCCCAAGTCTAGGCTGAGGTCCTCGGAGCTCTCTTCCAGCTGCTCTGGAGAGTCATCTTCTTCCTATGGATGTTAGGGAGAAAAAGGCACTGACAAGAGCTGCAAAGTGTGTGGCCCTGCACTCCCCGGCACCCAGACCCTGCCCATCCCCTCTTCCCACGCCCTACTCATGACAAGTGGGCCAGTCCCTCCAGGGTTCTGTCCCACCTGGTCCTTCAAGGCCTTTTCCCACAAAAGGGGTGGGATTCTGGGCTTCGAGACTTGACTCTCCTGCTTCCTCTGAGCCCTAGATGAGGACTCACCTTGCTGAGTGCCAGTCTGATCACCTTAGGAAGTGGCCATCATACCCTGTGTCCTGCCCACTCACCAATGGGCTTGGAAGTTCTGGGAAGATTGCATTTGCCAACAATTGACAAAAGTGCTGCACAGATGTCTTTGTTAGGGATTGACTGTCTCCCCAAAATATGTGTTGGAATACTAAACCCTGTACTTATAAATAGGAGTCCTGGTGGCCCAGTGGTTATGTGTTCAGCTGCTAACTGAAAGACTGGTGGTTTGAACCCACCAGCCCATCCACAGGAGAAAGATGAGGGCTTCCAGAAAGATTAAAACCAAAAAAGCCCAAACTCACTAACCATTGAGTTGATTCACCTCATAGCAACCCCTCCTTGGGTTTCCAAGGCTATATCTCTATGGAAGTAGATTGCCCAGTCTTCCTTCTGAGGAGTGGCTGGCTGGTGGGTTTGAATTGCCAGCCTTCTGGTTAGCAGTCACATGCCTTAGGCAGAGCTCCATAAAGATTACAGCCTTGGAAACCCTATGGGGCAGTTCTCTGTCCTCTAGGGAAACTGTGAGTGGAAATTGACTCCATAGCAGTGAGTTTGGGTATGACCTATTTGGAAGTAAGGGTTCTTTTTTTTTTTTTTGGTTAAAGAGGTTATCCTCGAGTAGGGTGGGTTCCAAACCTAATCCCTTCTGAGTTATCAAAAGAGCAGACGACACACGCACACACACACACACACACACACTCACAGGACCACAGACCACGAGGCAAATGCATCTACAAGCCCAGGAATGCCAAGGATGCTGGCAACTACTAGAAGCTGACATAGACAAGGAAGGACCGCACCCCTACACCTGATACCCTGGAGCTGGACGTCTAGCCTCCTGCATAAAGAAATATAAATGAACAAAGAAGACCACAGAAGAACTGATGCCTTTGAGTGGTGGTGTTAGCAAAGCATAATGAATACACCACGGATGCCAAAAGAATGAACAGATCTGTCCCGGAGGAAGTGCAGCCAGAATGCTCCTTGGAAGCCAGAATGGCCAGACTTCTTCGCACCTAATTTGGTCATGTTGTCAGAAGGGACCATTCCCTGGAGAAGGATGTGCTCGGTAAAGTGGAGGGTCAGTGGAAAAGGGGAAGGCCCTCAACGAGATGGACTGACACAGTGGTTGCAATGATGGGCTCATTCATACCGAGGACTGTGAAGATGGTGCAGGCCCTGCTTCACATGGGGTAGCTATGAGTTGAAACTGACTCAAGGGCACCTAATAAGAGTCTCCTGAACTGTGAGAAAATACATTTCTGTGTTTTAAAGCCACCCACTCGTGATCTTTCTTGTGGTAATAGTAGCACCAGGGAACAAAGATGGTTATTCTTGGTGCTAATGGTGTACTTTCAGGCAGGGTGCCGGGCTCCTGGGCTTTCCCCTAGGCTCTTCCAGTGTCTCCCACAGTCTCCTGGATTCTAGCCTCCGGGACTAGGGTGAAGCAAGCGAGACAGTCACCTCGGGCCCCAAACGTAAGGAGATGCCAAAAAACTCAGCAAGATCAGGGCTATTGGGTACAAGACTTGAGCTAATCAAAATGAAGGCAAGATTCTGCGGTAAAAAGGAATGAGCTATCCAGCTGCGGAAAGACTGGAGGAACCTCAGACACAGACTGCTGAGAAAGAAACCCACTGCCGTTGCGTTGATTCCGACTCAGAGACCCTGGGAAAGAAACCCAGCTGAAAAGGCGATGGACTGCATGCTCCCAACCATATGACTTGGGAAAAGCAGAAGCATAGAGACAGTAAAAAGATCAGTGTTGCCAGGGGCCCAGGCAACCAGGAGGGAGGAATGAGGAGGCAGCACACGGGGCATTTTAGGACAGTGGAACAATTCTTTATGGTGAATGCATGACATTATGCACTTGTAAAACCCATAGGACTTTACAGGGCCCCCGGGTGGTGCGAACAGCTGAAGTGCTTGGCTGCTCACTGAAAGGTTGGGGGTTCGAGTCTACCCAGAGGTGCGTCTTAACAAAGGCCTGGCAATAGCTTCTGAAAACTCTGTGACTGGGAACTTTATGGAGCACAACCCTGAAATAAATCCAGATCTCAATGGTCAGTTGATTACCAGCAAGGCAGCCAAATCCACTCAATAGGGGAAGGAACAGTGTCTTCAACAAATGGTGCTGGCAAAACTGGATTGTCACATAGAGATAATGGAACAAGATCCATACCTCACACCGTACACAACAACTAATGCAAAATGGATCAAGGACCTAGCTGTTCAATCTAAAATCATAAAGTTCTTAGAAGAAAACATAGCAGCAAAGCTTTGGGACTTTGTTTTTTTTTTTTCAATGACAGATTATCAAACACAACCATGATTGCATGAGCAACGGGAAACAACATAGATAACTGGATACTCCTAAGAGCAGTATATATTAAGTACTCACGTTCATCAAAAGGCTTTATCAAAAGAGTAAAGGGCCAACCTACACACTGCAATATAACCACCAAGGGTCTATTATTGAAAATATACAGAAAACTTCTATAGCTGACAACAAAAAGACAACCCAATAAAGAACAGAGCAAAAGACCTGAGCAGTCACTCACCACAGAGGCTGTTCAAAGGGCCAACAGACACATGACAAGCTGCTCAACATCATTAACCACCAGAACAATGCAAATCAAAACCACAGTGAGATACTATTTCACTTCCACTAAACCCCAAACCAAACCCACTAGAGAACAGAGTAGAACAGCCCCACAGTGTTTCCAAGGCTGTCAATCTTCACAGAAGCAAAGCTCAAACCAAACCCACTGCAGACTCGATTCTGACTCACAGTGCCCCTAGAGGACAGAGTAGAACTGCCCTATAGAGTTTCCAGGGTCTGGTGGCATAGTGCCTAAGGCATTTGACTGCTAACCAGAAGGCTGGAGGTTCAAACTCACCAGCCACTCCTCAGAAAGAAGATTGGGCAAGCTACTTCTGTAGAGATATTGCCTTGGAAATCCAAGGAGGAGGTGCTATGAGTCGGATCTGACTCCACGGCAGTGAGTTTGGTTTCATCTGGAAATTTTTACCAGAGCAGACTGCCACATTTTTGTCCTGTGGAGTGGCTGGTGGGTTTGAGCTGCTGACCTCTTGGTTAGCAGCCAAACGCTTTAACCACTGAGCAACCAGGGTTCTCTTCGCTCCCACTAGATTGGCTAAAAGGAGCCCTGCTAGTGCAGTGCTTAAAAGCACTTGGCTGCTAACCAAAAGGCTGGTGGCTAGAACCCACCAGCCACTCTGTGGGAGAGATGTGGCAGTCTACTTCCGCAAAGTTTTTTTTATCTTAGCCATCATAACTCAGACCAAACCCACTGCCGTCAAGTTGATTCTGACTCACAGCCACCCTATAGGACAGAATAGGACTTCCCTATAGGGTTTCCAATGCTGTAAATTTTTACAGAAGCCGACTGCCTCACCTTTCTTCCTAGTTTGCCTTAGTCTGGAAGCGCCACTGAAACCTGCTCAGCATCCTAGAAACATACGGGCCTCCACGGACAGATGGGCGGTGCCTGCACATGAAGGGCACTAGCTGGGAATTGAACCTGGGTCCCCCTCATGGAAGTAAGAATTCTGCCGCCGAACCACCACTGCCTTCTTTTTGTTGTTGTTTATGTGCCGTCAAGTCGGACCCGACTCATAGCGAGCCTTCCTTGGGTTTTTGAGGCAGTATCACTACGGAAGTAGATCGCACCATCTTCCTTCCGAGGAGTGGCTGGTGGGTTTGAACCTCCAGCCTTCTGTTTAGCAGACAAGTGCCTTAGCCACTATGCTACCAGAGCTCCTACTGCCTTCTTAGCACAGGACAAAAGTCTTCAAAGTCTGTCACCCTCCGCCTCCGGCACCTCACAGCCTCATCCGCACCACCCAGGAGGCAGCAATGTGGCACTTGGGGACACTCCAATGACACACTGAGCTGGACAATGCTGAGTAACAGCCCCCGAGCCTCCACTGAACTAAATGTGCATTATCTTTAATTCCACAGGAGCTCCACCAGGGGGCACTGGTTCCCCACTTTCCAGAACAGAAGCTGGGCTCAGAAAGGGAGGAAACCAATGCCAGAGCCAGACTCACCCAGGCCTAGTGGAATCCAAGCCCTCTGTTCTCTGCTGTTCTGCTTCTCTCTATATTTTTTCCTGTTTCTTTTTTCTTTAATTTCTCTCTCCCTCCCCATTATCGTACTTTTTCTCTAGCCAGGGTACCTACTTTTCCCTATCCTTGGAAAACTTCTCTTAGCCTACTTAAGAGTCTGCCTGGTGAACTGCTCATCCTACAAAACTCATCTTGAGCATGCCCCTCCAGGCTGCCTTCTTGACTCCGTGAGTTTGGGTGAGGTGCCCCTCCTCTGGGCTATCAGAGTCTGTGGGATAGGGATTGTCCCTTTCCAGGTCTCAGTGAGACCCCTGTCAGACCTCTGACAGGGTCTGGTGGGTAGAGGGGTGGGCTTCTCCCATTGCTCCGTGTGAGGCCAATGCTGACACCTGGCGCCAGGCACTGATGTGATCCCAGGCAGGCCTCATTGGGCTGTCCCAGTGCACAGAGCATACTACTAGGGGCCCAGACCCCCTTCATGAATTCTCTAAGAGGCTCGCAGGATATAATCAACAGATAAAATACAGGATGCTCAGTTACATCAAATTTCTGATAAACAAGGAATAATTTTTAAATACAACCAAAACCAAACCAAAACAAAAAAACAACTCAAACTCACTGGCATCAAGTCAATTCCTACTC